TCCGGTGCGTATAAGTAATTCTGTTGGACTAGATAATGTCATATTCCACAAGATACTACTCTGATATCATTCAGAGCTAAATAACCGCTGAAAATTATACATCGTCATTAAATAATCTATGACAGATATTTTTTAATGGAGATAGGATTTTTTTTTGAGGTAGGAACTAAATTTATAAATATTATTTAGGCGAACTCACGTCCGGGCCATAGCTCAAGTGGTTAGTCGCTGGCTTTCCACCGCGGCGGCCCGGGTTCGATCCCGGGTCTGGTCAAGTGGGATTTGTGGTGGACAAAGTGGCGCCGGGGCAAGTTTTCTCCGAGTACTTCGGTTTCCCCTGCCAATCTTCATTCCTTCAATTGCTCCACAATCATCCTCACCTATCATCTGGGACTGGTACAATAGGCCAGAAGTGGCCGCAGTACAAGGGACTTAGTCTCACCCCACTAGCAATAAAAAAATAGGTGAAATCATGAACACCCACACTAATGAGCATTGCTCAACCCTGGATAACTTCCATGCTCTATACTGACGTACCAGAAAATGGACTCCCAACCTCTCCAGTTTTCCACTCAGTCTCTTCAAGCTCTGAATGGTTATGACCATTTTATGTGGTTCTCCTTTTGTGGCACATGACTTTTGTATGTGCTCACGTCAGCAGAATCAGACTGACCCACTTGGCGAGTGCCACTTCTTCAACACGTCTATTAATAGCATTTTAAAACAGATTCCAGCCTCTCTTCCCATTCCATATCATAAATTTAAGCGAAAGAAACCATCAAATTAACAAGGAATTCAGAGCAGTACTCATAAACCCAAATGTTTTATTTCATAGATTTCTAGTCCTGCAGAACTATTATACTAGTAGCTCCTCTGAAGAGTTTATTAATTTGGTATACGTAATCCTCTATTTTTCAGATATAGACCCAAAATTTCTCACCGCCACCATGATGACGGACGTAGGAATATTTATGATCTGTCTCCATACCAAATTTCCGATGCCTAGCTCCACAGGTTCATTAGTTACCATCATCAAACCGAAAGCTAAGGGCACGTTTCGCACAGCTGCCATACTGTTATTTAACGCTTGTGAGAAAGTTACCTCAACCGAAGTTGGACATTATTTTTGGAAGTCTATTAGCATGCCTCATTTTAATACCCAAAATTTTTGTGATGTTAATGTTGTTCTAGTCTCATAAATTTGAATGTCCTCTATGTTATTACTTATTGCTAAAAATTAAAATCACAGCCTTGAGGTGTTTTATAATAACTTAACGTTCAAACGAAATTCTATGAAAAACGGCCAAATGGTTCGTAATTTGAAGTGGGCATATAGAATAGAGCGTGGTGATTTCATAAACCTAGTTTATTTCTTTAGGATATAAAATAGACTAAAAGGGGAAATATGTCATATTTGGTTAAATAATATATTGAAAATCTTATTTATAATAGATAATTGTTTCGCTACAATTATTTTGCAACAAAAATATTCTTTTTCACTATGAAAATTCCTTCAGCCAGTCCGAAATGGACAACAATGACCATGATAAATTGTGTGTACGTGCTTCCTGTGTTTTACCTCGGTCTTCGTAACATGTTCCAAGAGGCCAGTCACCAAACTGTATTTTTGTTGTGACTTCATGTAACGTGTTACATCATCAGAGACTTGTCAAAGCCAACAAGAGCGCAAGGGTGCCTCGTTTACAGTGTACATATGTCCAACACGCACTCCCGAAACAATGAAAAGCAGATTTCGTTTGCGAAATGCGTGTACAATTTATGTAATATTCGAGGTTCTCACAACGATGGTCGTGAGGAGTGCTATCTTATATTTTGTAGCGCCGTATAGTCTGTTGAAATTGAGCCGAAGTTGCGTAGAATATGTCGCCTCATTTTTAAAGGTGGAAGTTTGTGACAATGGTATATTGCTACAAGAATAATCCAGTCAGGAAATGAGCATGAAGCAGGAATACTTCTTGCTACCTGATTCAATATGGTTTCTTGCTTGGTTTATTGTGCTGCCCTGAAGATGGAGGTGACATGTTCCTCTAACACGTCCGCTGACTTTCAACGGGCTATATGACGTTATATTCCAGAGGACAGAACCCTTCTTTATAACGTCTAGTTCAAGATCCTCTGTCATTCTGTCTTCAATTTAAGTCTTAAAGATTAAAATATAATTTCAAGTAATTATGAATTATAATTTTACAGCTAGGTTTGTGTGACTTGGAATCTTTGCCTGTCATGTCTTGCGAAGAATATATTTAGCGTGTTTAAGGAGTAAGTGATGACAAGGTAAATTTGTCCCTGTTCTTAATTAATGAAGCATCACGCCATGAAGACATATGATGGAGTGGAAGTATAGCTCAACCATTCTTTACTTCGGCACTAGATGGAGGTGAGTGGTCAGTTTCACTTCCAGGCAGCTTTTCTCTCGGGGTAAGAGCCCCCCGATACCCATAGGGTAAGAGATTGGTTGTACTGCAGAGCCGGTAAGGACGCTATGGAGTAGAGAAAAATTTAGACCTCAGGGAGAGGAAGAAATAAGATGCTGCAGAAAGCTGTATAATTGCGCGTTTCATATTCTTTACTCTTCATAAAATATGATTAGGGTTCTCAAATCGGGGAGCACATGATAAAGTGGCTGGTAGGAAATATGCATGGGGAGACAAGGATTTAATTTAGGAGAAATGCAAGGAAAGCCACTTAGCATTCCTAGGCGTAGATAGGAGTATAATATTAAATGGAATCTTAAAGAAGTAGGTTCGGTATAGCTACGGGCTCGATAACCCGGTTTAGGTTCCCGGCAGTGTAAGATTTTTTATTATCCACCGATTTCAGACCGACTCTGGGGCGCACCGGGTCTCATATTGAATGGGTACCGGTGGCTCTCTCCCCCGAGGGTAAAGTGGCTGGTGCGTGAAGCTGACCATTCACCATCTAGTGTCAAGGAAAAGAATACTGGAGCTATACCTCTATTCCCCCTACTTATTCATGGCGTAGCCTTAATTAATTGAACACAGAAGTTTAATTTTATTAACTAGTTTCATGGAGCTGAGCCCTTCTTGAGAAACCGCCAGTTATGTAGCAACTCAAGAACTTCCCAGCCATTTTATGGAACCCGAAGATTGATTACCGTGTTCACAAGAGCCCACCACCGGTCCCTATCCTGAACTAGATCATTCCAGTCCATACCATACCATTATATCTCTCTAAGATCCATTTTAATATTATCGACCAACCTACGTCTTGGTCTTCCTAGTTGTCTCTTTCCTTTTGACTTTCCCACCATTGGCTTACCTTTATTACGAGTAGAAATCTAGAATGTGAACTGGATAGAACTGAAGGTATGCCCTACACCGTGGAGGCAATTAGTCACCAAGACCTCGGATTACACTTATTGGTAGCGTTTTAACACCACAGACCAGAAGCGAAGGCTCGATTATTTCTGTCGTGTTACTAATGGCCACAGTCCAAGTAAAATTCTGTTTAGTCCATTAATTTCTTCTTGACGTCTTCTGGCATTCCTTGTCTTTATACACTGTGAAGTAGCGCCGGTACAATGATGGCTCGGTAGACGCCCCTGCTTATCCTCTTTTGTAGCGCCAAGGTGGGTCACTTAAGGACGCTCTCAGCAATGGGACTCCAAATCTAGGTGCAATCGCACCAGTTGCCTGGGAACTAAAGAAAACCACAAACTGATGGTTTCCCGGCCGGAATTCTAAGCGATGTCCTCCCAAATGCAAGTCAAAGACACAACCTACACACCAGCCTGTTCCGTCTGAGGTCATACTGAAATGCTTTATCGAATAGTTAGCAGTCTTCCTGGGGTAAAGGGCAGCCGGCGCTAAGGCTGACAGCCTTACCGCCATCTGTAAGCCGATTGTCTAGAAACTGTGGGAGCTTGGACGCCTTACAACCCTATGGGCCTTCACCGTATGTTACAAGGATAGCTTTACATTTTTCCATCAGAGATAGCTCAGTCAGTTTGGGGACTGCTACGAGCTGAACGGCCGACAAGTCGAAGTCCCGATAGGGACAAGGTTTTTGTCCTCTCCGCGTCGTGCAGTTCTGTCCTCAGACCCACCCAACCACCCATCCAATGGGTAACGGGGTTTCTTTTCCAGGGGTTATAGCGGCCAGGGCGTGAGGCTCACCACTCACATCCAACTAGTGTCGAGGTCAAGAATGCGTGGTTCTACAAATATATTCCCCCATGGTTCTTCATGGCGTAGTGTTTAATTAGTTAAGCGCAGGGACAATTTTACCTTTCCTATATCCCGCACTGCCTCTGTCGCATGTTGCGTTTTAGCCCCTATGGAGACTTGACTCCTAAGAGGATAGAGCTCGTGCACTGAAACATTCATTCCTCCACAGATACACGGAATTCTGCACGTTCTCCTTCGTGACAGGTTAACAGAGGAGACTGGCAGACTTCCATGCTACGAATTCCTCTCTCATTAGAAGCTGTAGCGATGTCACGGCTCTGGCGAGTTGTCTCCGTCTTCTCTTCACAAATATAAATGCAAAGTTGTCCCTTCACTTAATTAAGTACCGCGTTATGAAGGCATAGTTAATTGGAGGTACGGTTCTACACATTCCCAACTACGGTATCGTCACGTGTATGGGTGACTACAGACGGGGCTCAGATTGGTAATTTTATTCGGTAACAACCTACAGGTCATAACTACAATTAGTTATTACACTATTGCTGCTTTACACAATGTGCAATCACTCCACACTAATCTTTTCAGTCTATCTACACTAGTCTTCACGGGTAGTGAGGCTGTCAGGCTGAAACTTACTCTATTCTCCACTGGTATCGCGCCAGACATTAACTTCTAGTAGATTTACTTTTAGAAAGCAGTGACAGCATTAACCGGCTGGGGCCTGTAGTGGTGACGTAATGTGTTTCCTGTGAGGTACGAACTGAAATTTTGTATATTATATAAAAGATATTCAGTCTTTAAAGGGTTGATAATATTGGTGTGTGCCCACAGGTGCCCTCGCGTATGCCGAGTTGGGTACAATGAACACCAGCTCTGGGGCCGAGTACGCCTACTTCATGGATGCCTTCGGTTCCATGCCTGCCTACCTGTTCTCCTGGGTGTCCACGTTGGTGCTGAAGCCTTCGCAGCTAGCCATCATCTGCCTCAGCTTCTCTAAGTATGCGGTTGAAGCCTTCGTTACGGAGTGTGAACCGCCAGACAGTGTCGTCAAGCTGGTGGCTGTCCTAGCCATTGGTGGGTATTCATTCAAGTATTGAAACTTCTTAACAGCAACCAGTATTTCCAGGGATAATGATCGAACTAACTAACTAACATAACTACCAGGGAAAGTCAGTAAATAGATCACAAATTGATATAAAGCTCAAAACATGTGACATTCGAACCTCGAAAAAGCATTTACTCGTATTTCTCGACACATCCTCCACCAACATTTATATACCTGTCTCATCGCTTTACCAGCGCGTCAAAACCCGCAACATAGAAGTCCTTTCGTTGTTGCCTTAGCCACTTATTCACCTCCGTTTCAACCTCTTCGTCATCAGAGAGACATTTTCACTTATGTGTGAATAGCTTTACGCGACAAACACTTCCCACATCGAACAGGAAACATTTCTTCACGAATATCCTTTGCATTGAGTCATTTTTCCCCACAAAAGCACAGTAGAACACTGGTCTTCGGTAGCATACTCCTCAAATACGTTGGCCATTTTTACTACTAAAACCAGCCTCTGAGCATGCGCATTCGCGTCTGCCACCTAGACTATCATGAAGCTGGACTGTGCTGCTACCTCGTGATAGACATAAAAACCTCTTACATCCATTACATCTGTTTTAGTTCCTTTGTGACCTATTTACTGACTCTTCCTAGTGAACTAAACTAACCTAAACTGGCCTGGATTCAGCCACAGGTCAGGTCATGTGGGATTTGTGGTGTACAAACTGGCACTGACACTGGGGCAGGTTTTCTCCGAGTGCTTCAACATTGCTTGGTAACTCCCATTCCACCAACTGCTCCATATTCATGAATCATCTTATCATGACTCTTCATAGTCTCTATACTGACAGTGTCGTTACATAACAAACTTCATTAAATAACCAACCAACGAAATAACTAATCTTTTTAATTCAGACTCTTGTGGTTGGGGTGAGACTGAGTCCACTGGCCTGTTGTACCAGCCCCAGAAGATAGATGAAGATGACTGTGGAGCAGTCGATAAAATGAGAATTGGCAACGGAAACCGATATACTCGGAGAAAACCTGCCCAAGTTCCACTTCGTCCACCACAAATCCCACATGACCTGACGAGTTCTCGAACGTTACCCCTAGACTACGGAGGCCGCTCACCACTTCTTAGAAAATCTGGTAGAGCCGGGAATCGAACTCGTCTTTTATAATAAATAAAAATTAAATCACACAGAGTTCTTCACTGTTAGGTTGGGGTTCTGTTACTTTGGTTTTGTAAACCATCATTTCTGGTTTTGTCATCTCGTACTTTCCTGTTGAATAAATTAAAAATTGCTGGCTTTCATTCACCATCAATCAGGAGCCCTCGTGTACATATGTCATCTAAGAGTTTCATTGTAGCGCGCAGTAGGGACTGATGGAGCTTATGTGTTCGGCACTAGAATTGATAGAAGATCACGTGACCTGCCACTGTGTAGGTCAGCGTCCTTTTCGGATTCTGGAGTTCAAAAAAATTTAACGTTATATAAAATCACTTTGAAATGGCGCAGTAACACGGAAATGCGATTACTAGTGAGTGACGTAACATTTTCTGTAACATCATAGAACTGTTAGCTTGCCGATCTTGTGTATGCGAGGGGGCAGGGAACAAAATAATTAAGGTCATTTTGCAAAATGGAGGGGAGGAGAGCCATTTCCACTAAGTGACTAGCCCACGAGTGAATAAAATCTGTAGGCGGAAACCAAGATTATGTGTTGATAGTATTTTGTTGGGCCCGAGAATTGTTCAACGCAATTTTAAAAGAAATAAATATTTATTGCCACAAAAAGCACCTTAAATATACGTTTTATATTTCTGTGGACAAATACTTTAATACATAGCCTGAGGAAATTTAAAATAACAATGCTGATGTAAATTGGAAATAATATAGACAAGTTTCCACAATATTTCCACTGGCTAGGTGAAGAGCTTGCACGAGCTGGATCCGACCCGCGAACCGTAGTTTGAACACTCGTATGCTAGATAATACGTCTTGACTAAGTGAATAATTGATAAACTGGCCAACTATTTAAATAAAGTACTGACTTGATAACTGCTCAAGCGACTGCCTATCTAACTACAAGACAAGAAAACTACAGGATTGGGTCGCTTACTGACTAAGGCAAGGGTCTCCAAACTACGGCCCGCAGGCCACATGTGGCCCGCGATGTGACTTTATCCGGCCCGCGAAAGAATTGTGCAGAAATGCGCCAATTGAACTAATTTTCCAATGAGTAATGGTAAATGTGATTCAGAGCTTATTGACCTGACATATTATACTGCAGTTCGATGGCTTAGCTGTGGAAAGGTTCTTTCGCGCTTCTTTCAGCTCAGGAATGAAATTGATATATTTCTTACCGAGAAAAACTATCACGAACCACTTTTATCAGATACCGAGTGGCTTTGGAAATTAGCAGTTTTGCTGATCTGGTGAACCATATGAACCATTTGAATTTAAAGTTGCAGGGTGAAAATAACTTAGTCTGTGATTTATTTGCACTTATCAAGGCATTCAGAGCAAAGTTGATACTTCTGGAAAGCCAAGTGAAAAATTGTAACTTTGTTCATATGCTATACTGTGCAGAGTTGCATAAAAAGGGTGAAGCAGAATTTCCTTCCTCGTTTGCAAATTTAGTCATTTCAGATTTGAAAGAACAATTTCGGAAGCGATTTGCTGATTTGGATTCCAGTGCTCAGGAAATTAGATTGTTTCAAAATCCGTTTGACTGTGATGCTGCAGATGTCTCAAGTCAAATTCAAATGGAAATTATTGAACTTCAGGAAAATTATCACATTAAAGACAAATAAATACAAGGAAGGAAATTTGATCGATTTTTATAAATTTCTGAACTCTGAGCAATTTCCAAATTTAAAGAAATTTGCTTGTAAATTTATCTCCATTTTTGGGACGACATATCTGTGTGAACAAACTTTTCCCCAGATGAAGTACATCAAGTCGAAATACGGGGAAAATTTATCCGATGAACATTTAAAGTCGCTACTTGTGATTAACGTTTCAAAATTTGAACCTCAATTTAATCAGATTTTAAGAATGCAAAAAGAGTTCCATCTTTACATTAATTGTTTTATTATAATTTGTGATGAAAATATGAGCATTTGCTGCTACTGTCTGTTGTCATTAATATAGTTTAATTTATTCTCACGCACTTTGTATTTAGTTTATGAAATTCTGTGCTTTGAATAAACTCATATACCTAAAGTTATTAACTTCTCATTTTATCCGGCCCGTTGAAAGTGCTGAATTACCAAATGTGGCCCGAGTTTCGAAAAATTGGAGACCCCTGGACTAAGGCACTAACTCAACTGACGGACTGACTGACTGTGCCTTTAAGTGGTGTTCCTTACTCTCTACATTCGAATACCTTCCTACAATAGGCCACGATCATCTTTTTCAGAATTCCAAAAAATATGTAAAAGTAAAACTATCCCTGTAATAGGCCTTGGAGGCCTGTAGGTTTGTGAGACGTCGAGGCTTCCACATTTTTTAGACAATCGGCTCACAGATGGCGGTGAGGTTGTCAGCCTGAGTCAGGCTGAGTCGATCCCAGGGCTCTAGTGCAGCTGGAAGGATTAGCTCAACTGAAAAATCCAGTGACCTCATAAGGAATCGAACCTGTGACCTTCCGACTTGTAGTATAGTGCCGCAACCAAATACGCTACCGTCTGCCCCCAGCATACCAAAACAATTTGTTTATCCGTGGTATACTCAACGGCACTCTCAGTACTTGAGACCAGTAAGAAAACAGTTAATGATTAGAACAGGATATGGAAGGAAGCGATAATATCTTAATGTAAGATGTTGTCCAGACATGTGTATGAAGGGACTGAGGAAAACGTATAAAACAAAGGCAATATCAATATCCTGAGTGAGATTCGAACAGTGAACCTCTAGATTAGAGCTGGAAGCGTTACAGCTTGAGTTAACTTGCTCTGTTGTACCATTCCAAGAATATAGATATTTATACTGGAGATTCGGTAAGATTCCTTGTATTGAGGATCGGCCCCTATCTACACAGGACGTTTCATGGAAATATGCAGGATATATAGTGCTGTGATCTGGACTTGAACCCATGNTTTAATTTATTCTCACGCACTTTGTATTTAGTTTATGAAATTCTGTGCTTTGAATAAACTCATATACCTAAAGTTATTAACTTCTCATTTTATCCGGCCCGTTGAAAGTGCTGAATTACCAAATGTGGCCCGAGTTTCGAAAAATTGGAGACCCCTGGACTAAGGCACTAACTCAACTGACGGACTGACTGACTGTGCCTTTAAGTGGTGTTCCTTACTCTCTACATTCGAATACCTTCCTACAATAGGCCACGATCATCTTTTTCAGAATTCCAAAAAATATGTAAAAGTAAAACTATCCCTGTAATAGGCCTTGGAGGCCTGTAGGTTTGTGAGACGTCGAGGCTTCCACATTTTTTAGACAATCGGCTCACAGATGGCGGTGAGGTTGTCAGCCTGAGTCAGGCTGAGTCGATCCCAGGGCTCTAGTGCAGCTGGAAGGATTAGCTCAACTGAAAAATCCAGTGACCTCATAAGGAATCGAACCTGTGACCTTCCGACTTGTAGTATAGTGCCGCAACCAAATACGCTACCGTCTGCCCCCAGCATACCAAAACAATTTGTTTATCCGTGGTATACTCAACGGCACTCTCAGTACTTGAGACCAGTAAGAAAACAGTTAATGATTAGAACAGGATATGGAAGGAAGCGATAATATCTTAATGTAAGATGTTGTCCAGACATGTGTATGAAGGGACTGAGGAAAACGTATAAAACAAAGGCAATATCAATATCCTGAGTGAGATTCGAACAGTGAACCTCTAGATTAGAGCTGGAAGCGTTACAGCTTGAGTTAACTTGCTCTGTTGTACCATTCCAAGAATATAGATATTTATACTGGAGATTCGGTAAGATTCCTTGTATTGAGGATCGGCCCCTATCTACACAGGACGTTTCATGGAAATATGCAGGATA